CAAATTTCATCATTGTTTTGTTGAAAATTTGGTTTTATATGATTTGTGTTGAAAATCAGAGTTTTTATTCGATTTTAGTTATAAATCTAAGGTTTTTGGTTTGATTTGGTTTACAGTTATGAGTTTTTGATTATTTATGGGTTAATTTTGTTTTTGATGTTTTTCTTACTGATCTAGGGTTTTGACATTTTTTATAAAGTTTTTAAACAGTTAATAAAGTTTTTAAAAGGTTTATAAAATTTATAGACTTTTTAAAAGGTTTTGTAGGACAATTTAAAATGTTTATAATTTTTTTTAAAACGTTTATAAAGATTTTAAATATGTTTATAAATACATTTAAACCGTTTATAAAAAAATTATAAAATATTTTTAAAAGGTTTTTTTAAAACATTTACGATATTTATAAGATTTTAAAATATGTATAAAATGTTTTGAAAGACAGTTTTATAACGTAAATAAAAACTCTAAACCCTACCACTACAAAAACGTGTCAAATTGTATCATTTATTTTTAGTATTTGTATTACTTATAAATGATGTAAATGCATTTTGCATCACTTAAAAAAGTGATTCTGAAAGTGTCGATGCAAATATTTCTCATCAATTAATACGTAATTGATACAAATATGTAAAACATTTACATCAATTGTTGTAACCGATGTCAATATATATGTATCAATTGCGAAAAATGATGTTAACTTTTAAATCAGTTTCGATAAATGATGTTAGTATTTGTACCAGTTATGATAACTYATGTTAATTTTTCTATCACTTGTAAATAATTGAGGCTAAACTTAGTMTCAATTTCTTTAAGTGCTTCTAATTCTTTTATCATTTATACTAACCGATTTCAAGAATTACTATCGGTAGTGTRAGTTATACCAACCGATGAGAATATTAATTTTGATTTACAACATAAATAGCCTATTTTATTTGATATATTTATAAAATTCTAAAAAATATTGATTAAATACGAAAAARCAAAGAAATTACTAATTAATGTATTAAAAAGCAGATTACATGATTCGTCCATGTGCAAAATAAAAATGCATAAAACATAAACAAACTAAAATTGCTAAGCTATTCATCATGTCTAGCATGGTTTCAACTCTTAAGCATTTTGATATCCATTGGCCCCATCATCCCCATTATCTGTTTCCATATCCATTAGCACCATCATCCATTTCCTGGAAAAAACAATCGTACAACAAATCAGTTTATCATCTAAATATCCATAAACAGTTAAGCATCATCCATTTAAAGTAAGAACCATTTACCTAAGAATTAGCTGGACTTGGTATGTTTGCAAAAGCTGGATTTGGTATTTCTGCAAAGCTGGATTTGGTATTTCTGCAAAAGTTGTTGCAAAACTTCTCGCCCATATCCTTGCCTAATTATTTAGTTAATATATTAGTTATATATAATATTATAATAGTGCACTTTAACTTAAGATTATCGTTATATTATACCTGTTCAGGGGTTGAAGAACCAAGTATCTGTTGGACGAACGAAGTCAATCCATTGACTTGATCAACTAATCCTGTCACTTGTCTCTCCAGCTCAACGACTTTTT